AAAGCGCTTTCCTTATTGGCAGAACTGATCCCTTCCTATTAGTCCGGTCATAGAACACCATGTGACAAAGAAAGCGAACGAAGCAACGAGACAAAGTGAGACAGACGTAACAAATAGACGCAAGAGCGTAGACTCATCCCAAAAGCATATTAACTTCAGATTCTTCTGATGAACACGTGATTATTTGCAATTACTAATTACTAATTAGCATCTTGATTAACTTTTCATTGCATTATGCAGCAAACGTGCTGTACTATACACATATTTTTTATATTTATGTTGTATCGTGCGATTTTTTTAAACGGTTATCTAGTACGATGCAGTTACATAATTAATTTATCATAAAAATACATCTTAAATTTTAAACCAATTTTCGTGAATGATGTTAATTATTATTACTTTTGTACTCCTTTACCTTATAAATCTTCTGAGCTATTGTCATCTGATTCCTTATCCGACTCATTGCTTTGTATTTCCAATTCTAGGTCTTCAGTTGCGTCTTCTATTATTCCATCTTTCGTCCAATATTCGTGTTCCAGTGTTTTTACATGTTTACAAAATCCTTTCCAATCATATGGTGTCGTTTCGTTTATTGCCTGGCGTAGTAGTGCTTCCAATTCATTGTAAGTTAACTCTGAGATAACGTTTCTTTCGTGGATATCTTACGCCTATGTTAACGTATCGCGTCACCAAACTTGGAGGTAGTAGTTTTGGGAGTGTCATAGAAGAGTGGGTATTACTAGTGGAATACCCCTCTTGCCCCGCAACCGAACGAGGTGACTTCTTTTCAGCCACGCACAGTAGCTCAAGCGCTTCGGTCACCGATGACCACGCGTCGCAGAAAAAACCATGGCCGGTCATATATGACCAATGTGACAGTCAAAGTGTTAATAAGTCGAAATGAATTTTTGATTTTGATTATAGTCTATATTTCTTGGCGGTATAAAGTATACGGAGGCTCGAAGCCTTCTATGATGCGTGGTGCAGACGATGGACTGTCAAAAAGTGTATCGTCGAACCCTTCAGATAGGTTTTATAGACTCTATGACAACCCACTGCGTCACTCAACCCTGCTTTGAGAATTGATAAACTGGATAGTTCCTCGAAGCAAAGATAGATCTCGATGCAGGGTGACGCCATTCAAATAAAGGTTCCTCTCACACTTGCAAGTAGAGTGCAAGTCCTTCGGGTGACAGATTTAGCTGAAACTTTGCAGATTTGTGGATTTAGTCATCCAGTTCAAGAAAATATATCATTATAAGTTCAACTACTCAATAGTTTTTGAGATATTTTTGATTAGAATTGTATTATTGCCTTAATTACGGATTTATGTCGAATGTTTATCAAGTGTCGTTAGGCCATAATGCCACTTGGTAACTATTGATAAATATTCGGAAGAAATCTCTAGTTAACCGTTTGAGTCCCAAGAAGCGCGATCGCGCTCAACTTTGCTGATGCATGTACGTCACTTAGTACCAACAAGCGCTATTGCAACTATTGGGATTTTTCGATATAAAAATATAAAACATATCGCGCCGTTTGGATTTCTACGCACTCGATTAAGCCAAGCATTATTATCGCGCTGTTCAGAGTTTTTCGACCGTGTTCTTCCGAAAGCCTCAAGCTCTGCTTGGGTCTCAAATGGTTAAGAATAATAAATCTTTAATCATAAATATCTCAAAAACTATTGACTTGTTCTCCTTATAATAGTACATTTTCATGAACTGGGTGACTAAATCTACAAACCTGTAACGTTTCAACTAAATCAATATCCCGAAGTACTTACTTGCACTCTCCTTGTTAGCGAATTTTGAGGATTTTCTTGGCTCTGGATCTCGGGAGTTTGGAAAGTTTGGATAAGAAGATACGTTTTACGGTCTTGAACACCTCCAGCACCCATAAATTAAAAGAGAAACAGCAAACGCCCGAACAGGGTTAATAGGAAACAGTTATAATTAGAAAGAGAAGATAAAACAGACTGAGTTTTAATACTAAGGAATCCGTTGTTTAATTATAGGTTATGGTAAGGTTATGGTCTGTGGATTAGTTAGAGACGGATCAGGAAACTGTGTTTTCGAAATTTATTTGCAATTATATCTTAATGTCTTCATACGATAGCACGGGTTTAATTATGTATATGTATGTTAGAGCGAATCAAAATAATTATAGTACATTTGACGGTGTATATTGTGGGTAGAATGGATAACATCTAATATCTAAGAAATATCTAAGAGCTTTTTAACGAGTAACACACGAAGTATATTTAAGTTAAAATGTTTAAATAATAAATTATTTGAAATGATAAATTGGTGTGCTCTTTCTAGAAGTTTCTTCGCTCTCGCTCACTCTTATTAACGTTTACATTTACGTGTTCACTCTTTGATAATACTAAAACAATTGTTTCATTGTCGTATATTCTTTTATATATTTTTTCAAACATCATTCAGACTAGACGAAACTCGGTCACATATTTATATCACATATTGCACAATTATAGACAAAACATTGAACCTCACTTACACTTACACACACAAAACCAACACTCACATATATAACTTATTTTATGAAATATGTGAAAGATTAAAATTAGGATGATCAAGATAGGAAGAATATAATATGATTTTTATTTAGTTCATTATTGTATTGTAATTCATATTTAACTATGCAAGCCTGAGGAATATATTTTTTAGTATAGCTTTGAGTTCTTTCATAGTGAAGAATAAATATTTATATTTAGAATTAGTATTTATATTGAAGTTATTCAAGTATTTTGATTGCAATAATTTCAAGCATTGATCAAAATAGTGTAAAAATTGTCTGAAATACCTAAAATTACCCTAATTTTTGTAATATCACATTCAAAATATAATATAAATATTGGTAACATAGGTACTAAAATAAAACTTAGGGAATTATTTGACATTTTGTACTTTCATATTTTGAAAATTTGGTGAATGAGAGGAATTTCCATAAGTTGGGAGATTGTTTAAGTAAAATTGATTATAAAGAAGGGGATTTTTATTTATCTATGGTGTTAAATTTCAATTGTTTACAGTATTAGTGGACGAGAGATTTTATGTATTTAGTCCTAATTTTTGAATCATGTTTTGTCACTATGGTTTGTCATACACTTGAAATTTGATTGAATTAGATCTTAAAATCAGTAACCTATTTTCACGGCTTTGTTAGAAAAAGAAGAAAAAGAAAATTACGAAAGAGAAATTGCAAATAAAGTTATATAATATATATTATAATATTTTTAAGTTATATAATATTTTTAAGAATTTTTTAAGATTCTCCTTTTGTATATACTACATAGTATATACAGTATATAGCGTATATAGTACTACTACATTGTGTTTGACGCTTACATATTTTCGTATTCGAAAAAGTTGAAGAATGGAAAGACTGAAAAAAAAAAAAGAAAAATGGAACATAACTATACATACTTAATGATTATTATCAAACGACTTTAGTTAGTATTATCTATGCATATTGCATTTAGCTAAGCGTTTCAGACTGGTGATATTAGCGTTAAGCCAAGAATTCATAATTTCTCGAATTATCTTTTAAATAATAAATAGGTTGGCGAACAAAGTAACGAGAAGCGAACGAGTGCAATTTTTATGAAACATCGTCGTGGTTGCAATCGAAGAAGCAGAGTAACGGGTGCAAATAAATGATGAAATTAACGAGTTAATAATTTATTAACAGAGCTTTTATTTTAAGTCGAACCTGACTGTTTATGGACGTGATTAAGTTTCGCAATTAATTTAATCTGTGGAAAACATATTTAGGGTAACCGCCTTGAAAAGATTAAATGTAAACACGATACACTGTGTTCTGTTAAAGCTCATTAATCACTTTTAAAATGGAGTGTTAATCTTGGAAGAAGAAAAGTTGAACCGATTAATAGCATATCTGAAGAGTAAAGAATGTATTGGAAAATTAAGCTTATCAAACAAAATCCAACAAAGTAAGTAATCTTTAATACTGTAATATTATTTAATATTCTATAGTACTATAATATTAAAAGAATTGTAGCAGAATTCATAAGTTGGGAGATTGTTTAAGTAAAATTGATTATAAAGAAGAGGATTTTTATTTATCTATGGTGTTAAATTTCAATTGTTTACAGTATTAGTGGACGAGAGATTTTATGTATTTAGTCCTAATTTTTGAATCATGTTTTGTCACTATGGTTTGTCATACACTTGAAATTTGATTGAATTAGATCTTAAAATCAGTAACCTATTTTCACGGCTTTGTTAGAAAAAGAAGAAAAAGAAAATTACGAAAGAGAAATTGCAAATAAAGTTATATAATATATATTATAATATTTTTAAGTTATATAATATTTTTAAGAATTTTTTAAGATTCTCCTTTTGTATATACTACATAGTATATACAGTATATAGCGTATATAGTACTACTACATTGTGTTTGACGCTTACATATTTTCGTATTCGAAAAAGTTGAAGAATGGAAAGACTGAAAAAAAAAAAAGAAAAATGGAACATAACTATACATACTTAATGATTATTATCAAACGACTTTAGTTAGTATTATCTATGCATATTGCATTTAGCTAAGCGTTTCAGACTGGTGATATTAGCGTTAAGCCAAGAATTCATAATTTCTCGAATTATCTTTTAAATAATAAATAGGTTGGCGAACAAAGTAACGAGAAGCGAACGAGTGCAATTTTTATGAAACATCGTCGTGGTTGCAATCGAAGAAGCAGAGTAACGGGTGCAAATAAATGATGAAATTAACGAGTTAATAATTTATTAACAGAGCTTTTATTTTAAGTCGAACCTGACTGTTTATGGACGTGATTAAGTTTCGCAATTAATTTAATCTGTGGAAAACATATTTAGGGTAACCGCCTTGAAAAGATTAAATGTAAACACGATACACTGTGTTCTGTTAAAGCTCATTAATCACTTTTAAAATGGAGTGTTAATCTTGGAAGAAGAAAAGTTGAACCGATTAATAGCATATCTGAAGAGTAAAGAATGTATTGGAAAATTAAGCTTATCAAACAAAATCCAACAAAGTAAGTAATCTTTAATACTGTAATATTATTTAATATTCTATAGTACTATAATATTAAAAGAATTGTAGCAGAATAGTATTATATTTTGAAGTACTATAATAATATGGTAATATAATATAAAATATAGTATTATAATGCTATACAGAATAGTACAATACGGTACAATGGTTACTATAAAATAGTAATATATATATATAGTTCTATAGAATATAGTAATATAGTTTAATACTATACTACATAATACTATATATACCAATACTATAGAGTATAGTACTATAATGTATAGACTACTTATTTTACGTGAAATATAGACTATCCAGACTGTATAGTACTATAGAGTATAAATAAAATATTAACTCTAAAATAAGGAATTAAAGTGATCACTATTGCATTGAAAATGCAATGAATTTTTTGAAAAATTGATCTTTCCAAACAAAATTTATCAAATTAAATAATCTTTAGTGGATATTACCTAGTATAGTACTGTAATGTATAGACTATTTATTCTACGTGGAGTATATACTACATACAGACTATATAGACTGTATAGTACTATAGAGTACAAATAAAATACTAAGCCTAAAATAAAGCACTAAAGTGATTACTATTGCATAGAAAATGCAATGAATTTTTTGAAAAATTGATCTTTCCAAACAAGATTTACCAAATTAAATGATCTTTAGTGGATATTACCTCATAAATAAACTATGACAGTAACAACAATAAAAATTGTTATTGAATTTTCAAGCATGATTCATTGGTAAGTTCCAATTAAACGAAGTTCCATTGTAACATCCTAAGCATGTCTGGCTCGTTCATTGTGGTTTATCTTCCTTTGATCAAGAAGACTTGGTGCCTGACACCACGTAAAATATGGATCGATAGGATCTATGAGGCATTAAAAAGATCGATCATTGGAAATACAAAAACCAGTTTCAGTTGAAGAGATAAAAAAGGAGCCATGCTCATCAAAGAACTTTAAGAAATAAAAGGATCAACTGAATAATATATCCTCTGTAGATAATAATAAATTACAATGTCAAATATCGCTTATTGAAGAAAACATTTTAAAAAATTCGTAATACTCGTATTTTATTGAAACATGGTAAATATTATTCTTCCAAAGTGAATATTAAATTGTAGATATTAAACTTCCTTATTTATTCAACTACTCGAGACTACTACTAGTGTTAAATATCACTCGACATCATTTAAACAAAAATTTTTTAATAAATATTTCCGGGTAGAAAAATTTTTCAACAGGAGATATTTTTAACAATAAATATTTTCAATAAGAAGACATTCTTAAAAAGAAGTATTTCAAATAACAATTATTTATTTAATACTTCCTTTTTCCTTGCTGAACTACATACATTTTTACAATAAATATTAATACAATGGAAATAAAAAATTATTTTATCAAATACACGAAATCAAATTTATTAAATTCACTTTCAATAAATTTACAAAATTCTAAAAAAATATCTGTGCTAAGAGTTGATAATATTCAACAAGTATTTCTACTCTCGGTTTTATTTTAGTCTTAATGATATAAAATAAACGGGGGCTCGAGGCCATCAAAAATAAAGATTCCTCTCACATACCGTGCAACCCAATTCGCTAAATGTTTGTGTATCTCGTTGAAACTGCAAATTGCCAATAACAAGAGATTTCAGTACAATGCAGCAATACACGAACGTGCAACGAATTTAATAAACCGAAGAACTGTATCACAACGATAAGATAGATAGAACAGAAATAAATGCTGAAAATTTCCAGCAGACGAGTGATGGATGGAAGGAGAAAGATGGCGGCACAGTTGGACAGTGAGTCCACTACTAGTAGACATGGAACACGATCAGTGGGTCGATTTCGTCTAACGTTCTCAGCGCTCCTCAGGATGTCCGTTCTTATCGTCGATACCGTAACTAAAGCGGCAGAACGGGGCGCCATATTGGGAGACCGAGAGAACGCCTTCTACCCCTTTCCTCTGATAGTAGAACAAAGGAAATACGAGAACGCAGCGACGATAGTGAAGTGGCTTTCAGCTGGGATTTAGCTCTCGCCGAATCGTAAATAATTCCTTGCCAATTTTGGAAATTATTCGGATTGTCGATTATCCATCGATGAATTCTTTTCAAATTGGCAATTTTGAGAAGATAGAAGCGAATTTTGCTTTCCTTAAAACAGTAAAATCGGAGATTTTCGAGTAGCATTAGAATTATTCTTTGTCGTGATAAATCTTTCAAAAATTGGATAGCAATTGGATAATAATTTAGGATAATTAGAATATAAATATCTTTGTTTGAAATAGTGTAATTAATTTAACTCTGGCCGAATTGTAAATAATTCCTTGCCAATTTTGGAAATTATTCGGATTGTCGATTATCTATCGATGAATTCTTTTCAAATTGGCAATTTTGAGAAGATAGAAGCGAATTTTGCTTTCCTTAAAACAGTAAAATCGGAGATTTTCGAGTAGCATTAGAATTATTCTTTGTCGTGATAAATCTTTCAAAAATTGGATAGCAATTGGATAATAATTTAGGATAATTAGAATATAAATATTTCTTGATAATTATAGTGCAATTAATTTTTATAATGTTAACCAACAATTTCCCATATTTTTAGTCGATAATTTAGAATAAGATTTTTATTGACTGCGATTTAATTGAATTTGGATATTATGGATGAAATAATCAATAAAAAATTTAATACTCTTATCAACCAAAAATTTTGAATATTAAAATGAGACAAATTTTTGTTAAATACAGTGTCATTAAGTTTTATCATTTGCTGTTTTTGTTTAACCAAAAATTTAAAATAGAAACATTTTTGTTGAATATAAAGTAATTATGTTTAAGTATCCTGTATAAAATAACCAATTAAAGATTTACTATCCTTAACTAATAATTTACATCATTTCGGACATCCATAGACAATTGTTGCGAGTATTACTTTTATGTGCGTGTGTGTGTGAGTGTGGTTGAACGAGTGAGACTCCTTTATTAATAATTATGCAATCTATGAAGTAAATATAATTTGTGCGAGTGTCGTCTAGTGTGAATGATGTTTAGAAAAATATTTAGAAGAATATGCCAGAATAAATCAGTCATCATATAATCATCGAGGAGTGAACACCGCAATGAAAACATGATAAAAAATGAATCTAGACAGAGTAAATCGATTTATTTCTTCAACAGTACACAATCTTGGATTTATTATTTACATATTTTGAGCTTAAACATACTTTCTGTTTCTCGTTAATAATAATAACAGTTATTCTTACCCGATTCTACCCACAATCGTCACAAAATATAACAAACCCGTCGAATCTTCAAAAAAAAAAAATACAGAATCATTCCCCTAACTCTTTTCGTAATAAAAAGAACCCACCTTCGGAATCAGCTTCCCCCCTGCAACTACTAAACATCAGAGAAACCTGCTACACAAAGCTCCACACCCAACAAGTTCAATATCTCTCGTAACTCGCAGAGCACATTCGCGAAATACTCGGAATCCCGACACTACCCACGACACGATTTCCAACTGCTCAATAGACCCCGGGGACCGACCGCAGCAAAAAGCAGTAGAGAAGATTCCGAAAATGCCTGAAGCCACTCTGCCAATGCCAAACCTCCGGCTCTATAGCCAAATCGAACACGAGGTGGCCAAAATCTCGATCGAAAATACCCATTGGGAACTGTAAACGGGGGAAAAAGCGAGTGGAGTGGTTGGCCGGGTAAAAAGCACGGTGATCAGAGCGGGTAGTAGAAAAACGAGACGCGAATGGGGCCATGGTGGTCGGAAACGAAGGTGGAAGGAGGAAAAATGGTGGCTGGTCAAAGGGACAAAGAGGAAGCTGGGCATCGTGAAATTGGGAACCACTGTCGAAGATAACCAATGGTCCAGAGTGGCACACACGCGTCCTCGTGCACGCACGGCTCACGTACACGTGCGCGCGCACATGCACGCACACAGATGGCGCTCGTACGAGATCCGTGTAATTCCAAGAAGCGTACAGTCGTCGGAAAAAGTGACGGGTTCTCCGACGAACTCCGTTGGCCCGTGGCTGGCGGGGGCGGAGGGCGAGGAAGAGAAGCTGATGGAAATGTGCGCATTACCAGTCGAGCATATTCATGAAAGTTCCTTGACATCGACGCCGCTGCAGGCGAATGACCAAACGGAACCCAGGAGGTCCCCGAGTGCGCGAAGAAAAACGTATTGTCGGCCTGGGCCGACTTGCACAATTAGATTAATATTGTTGCTGCAGTTTCACGAGTCACGAGTTATAGGTTAGTGGTACGTGGAAGTTTGGTTTGTATGTACTAGGGATGGGAGTAGCGAATTGTTGGCTGTGATTGATGGAATTTCTTTTAGTAGTAGTTGATAGTTTTCGTTTCTTGTAAATATTTGTCGAAATGAGCGGTTTAAAGGTTCTTTTAGGTTATGAAGATACAGGAAGAGGACAATGAACATGTTTGTAAGTGTCCCGAATGATATTAATAGAGATTAATAAATATATATTGATGATGTTATTTAATAATATTTTGTTATTCGAATAATAATATTAAATGCATATATGGATTATATTCATCAGTATAGAGCTTGTACCGTGTATTACATTGTTTATTGAATTATTGAATGTTATTTAAAAAATAAGTTTGTGAAATTTCTTAATAATATTAGCACTAGAAGTATTTAATATAAGTTTGATACATATAATATTCATAATATTTTATTATGATATTTTGTTATTCGAATAATAATATTAAATGCGTATATGGATTATATTCATCAGTATAGAGCTTGTACCATGTATTACATTGATTATTGAATTATTGAATGTTATTTAAAAAATACGTTTGTGAAATTTCTTAATAATATTAACACTAGAAATATTTAATATGAATTTGATACATATAATATTCATAATATTTTATTATCCGAATAATAATATTTGATATTTTATTATTTATTACTCAACGTGTGCTTGGTATACATATAGTGTATATAAATTATATTAATTAGTACAGTGTTTATAATGTATATTATATTATTTATTAATCTATTGAATGTTATTTGAAAAATACATTTGTGAAATTTCCTAATAATATAAATATTTAATGTGCATTTGAAATATATAATATTAATAGTATTTTATCATCTGAGTAATAATATTTAATATTTTATTATTTATTATTTAATGTGTTTTGGTACATATATATAATTAGTACAATGTTTGTATTATGTATTATATTATTTATTGAATTATTGAATGTTATATGAAAAATACGTTTGTGAAATTTCCTAATAATATTAGCACAAGAAATATTTAATGTGAATTTGATATATGTATATATAGCATGTGTAAATAATATTAATGTACGTGTTACAGTGCAAATAAATAAATAAATAAATAAATATATCTTGATGGTTATTTCAATAAAATTCTGAATTTTGAGGAACGCGTGTTTTCAACAATTACGAAAACAGGAAGTCTGAAAGCAATTATTTTTACTGATTTTTATAATTTTAGTATTAATTTATTTCGATGGTCGTAACTTACAAATTTCGACTCATTAAACTTATTAGTTGGTAAATTATTATGTAGGAGGACTGTGTTCATTCAAGCATTGTGTCTCGAGCTGACCATGCTATAACTTACTATAGTTTTAGGGCGGAGATAGACTTCTTAGTATTTTGAGCTTATAATAGTGTTTTGTTGCAATGTAAGATAAATGTATGTTTGTGTCTTGGTAAAAAGGAAATTTATTCGAATTTATCTCTAAAGATTACATAACCCGTTAAATGTACTATAAATGTTACGTAAATAATGAAAATAATTATATAATATTTTCTTTTTTAGCTACCTTGAAAATATTTAAAAATTACGGGTAATTAAACAGGAATATTGGTATATCGAGTGCACGAATTTAGTTATTACATACTCGAACTATGCTTTAAATATAATACAAATATAAATATAAATTTTCAACACATTTTTATACCCAATTCTAGAAATTTTAGGACCTGTAGAATACACGAATCCAAATCTTAGATTTAAAGAAACGCGAAAAATCGGAAGAATTTGATTTCTATTTTTGCATCTCGCATATCTACTGTATCTATTTGAAAAGCAATATTCACGTTAAAATAAATATACTTATCTGATATCAAATGTTTTCCTGGAGATTGACTAATGCTATGAAGAATAACAATAGATTGAAAAATAAGATTTAAAGCAAAACAAATCGAATCATTAACGGTCAAAGGTGAAATGGAAATTCTTTTGTCTGACTTTATTCGCACTATATAAAATTTCTAGTCACTATAGCAAATTTTTCTTCTATTAAACCTCATCTACGATACTGAATTAAAAATTACGCTGTGAGAAACTATTCCACTTTCTAATATTTTTAATCTACATTCCCATATTTAGAAAATTAGCGTAAATGAAAGAAAAAGATGGTACAATATCATTTTAACAAATATATTTCTTAGATACAATAGAATACGAATTAACGAAAATAAAAGAGCAGTAAAAATAATCATCCGTAAACGATAAAACTGTTTCTACAGCACATCAATTTCCCCCGTTCTCAAAAACAATTTTACCCACATGTAATTCTATTATACCGAGTATACCTGCACGCGATGCCTTGTGTACATCGCTTCATAACGAGACAATACGTAAAAATTTATCTATGACAAGGACGCTTGTCATTCATACACCGTAATTACTCGTGCAAACAAGCTGTATCGTACATACTTACGTACACTCCTGTACCCAGCTTACGTAACGACCGATGATGTAACTGTTCCCTATGAACGCTGGAACCACGCGGAAATTCCGATAGCCGATAAAACCATAGGCAGATTCCGCGATATAATTTCAGATAACGTTCAAACCGGCTAGGAACACTCGCTAGGGTACTCGCGTTTTTCGACACTAGACCGCTTCGCCGGTCTACCGCGCGCGGCGCTGCAGTCGCGTCGCGAACGCACGGGACAAACGGAACGTCGATCTTTCATTC